GAGATCCATTAACATCAAAATGAGGCCCACATCATATAAATAAATTGGGACAAACTAGTTCGGGGATGGTAAGAAGCAGCCAAAGCTTCTCACAGATCTGAGACCAGACTTGTAAGCTTTGTGTACGTGACCATGCATTGAATATACTTGTCAGACATAAAAAGACAAAAATACCATGTCTTTTCATAGTAACTCTAAGCTCACTTATATATTAATGACATTAATGTGGGCTTTTATTCCCATAACTCTCTATGATGCTTCTAATATTGCTGAGCCAAATGCATATTGATATATATCCTTTTTGCAATTTTAAAAGTAAAGTATCTAGCATAACATTTCAGTGGTAAGGGTGCTTGAAGCCAACAGCCTTATCATAAAAGTGTATGTTAACCCTGATTCAAGCTAATATCATGAGCAAAAGGTTTCAGCATTGCTTGTCTATGCCACAAGGCATCACAGGACTACAAGTACTTATGATAAATCTTTACAGACATGACACATCAAAAGATCATAAGATTTATTTAGAGTAGAGTAGAAGAATGGAATAGACTAGACTAGACTAGAATACGGCTATTTCAGTTGGAAGGGACCTACAGTTATCATCTAGTCCATCTGCCTGACCAATTCAGGGCTGACCAAAACTTAAAAGTGTTTTGTTAAGGGCATTGTCCAAATGTTTCTTAAACACTGACCACATCTCTAGGAAGACTGTTTCAGTGTTTGATCACCCTCCTGGTGAAGAAATGCTTCCTAATGTCCAGTCTAAACCTCTCCTGCTTTGAACCATTCTCATGAGTCCTATCATGTGATACATGGAGAGATCAGGACCTCCCTCTCTGCTTCCCTTCCTCAGGAATCTGTGGAGAGCAATGACGTCTTCCCTCAGCCATTTTTTCTCTAAACTAGAGAAACCAGAGGTCCTTAGCTGCTCCTCATAGGACATCCCTTCTAGAATTGGATTTCTATGGTATATGTCCCAGGAATAGGATTCAGTCACAATGCCTGAACTAGTACTATGATATGACCTGACGTCTGCCTGAACTGAACGTCTGGAGTTGAGCTGTAGAGCAAGACAATATGTGTGGGTGGATGCACACACGTGTAGATCAATCTATTTATGGAAGAGTTCTTAAGGGTCTCATAAGAAACAACTTGCTATTTCTAAATACAATGTTTAAAATTATTTGTTAAATTTGCCCTTGTTAATTACCTGTTTTAACACTAGTTCTTTTAATGACTTGTTGACTTTAGGGTATATTATTTGAAGTATCATTCTCTCTTTCTTTCCTACAACCTTCTCAGCGAGACTGTATTGTCCACAGTGTGTCATGGTGTTGACAGAAAAATCTTCAATGAATCATGACAGCTTAGGAAGGGATAACAGCACAAGAGAAGATCTGGGAGTTCAGTCTGTAAGTTTATTGAGATAATCCTTCAGATTCCATGGAAATAGGCAAAAAGCTCCAGAAGACAAAAGAACAGTGATGATTTGGACCAACTGAGATTCTGGCTCTTTATTTGTGATGAGAGGATAAATTGATGACATGTGGTATTTAGGGTTGATGTACAGGTAAGCCTACAGGTAGAAAATATTTTTTAAGAGGCTGATAGGAAAGTTGTCAAGAGATTGAGCTATACATGGAATTACAAACGCTTTTCCTTTCCACTGGTGGTTTGCAAAATTATTTATGCTAATGACATTTGACATAACAACTATGTTGGGAGAGGAAAAAGAAATTGTTAATATCTCAATTAAAATTCAAGAAACAAAAATGTGCAATTAGGTTTTTGTCACAAGAAATGTTCGATCATACTTAAGAAGACCAACTTGGATACATGCTTTTTATTAGGAAATAACATGAGCAAAGCCATACTGTTTTTCAACAGAAGTCTAAGTCCTCCAGTGGAATGGAAGTACACACATTTGTTGTTTTGTAATGTTTCTTAGCAAAGGTTTTTCATTATGGATTTATGTGCTGAGGTGGGAAAATCAAGCAAAGTTCCTAATTCATGTTAGCACTTACAGTACTTAATGGAGGGGTGAAATAAATAATTAAGTATTACAGTGAATTAGTAGACATGGCAAGAAGGACTTGGGATGTGGTTGGTTTCTTAACCATGTCTTTCTGCTCACCTCCTTCAGGCTTGACTGGTCCATCAGACATCACTTTTCTGAGGGCTAGTTGGCTTTGGTCTTTGTTGTCATTGGCTGGTGGAGGCAGATTGTCAGACTGAGTTCTTTGAATAGGGAGGACTCCTGCTATGCTGTGTCTGTGCTGCTTCCTGGCATGATTAGACTGACCGCTTTTATGTGCTGCTGTGGCAGTGTGGGTGAAATGGAAACCCAGAGTATGTATCCTCAGATGGAACCAGCTTAAATGTTATTCATGCAAACAGAAGTGTTTTTTTCTGTATTTAAATAAGTAGTGTTTTCAAACACTGAAGAGACACCACATGCACAGCATTAAAGAGTATTAAAACTGGCTGTTTCTTTATTAATGATCGTGAAGACAAGGGAAATAATTTTCCCCCAGTTTTTGCATTATACCATATTAACTTTATGGCATATCAAAAAATCCTGAAGACAAACAAAATGATTCCACAGTCAGAGAGTTTTAATTTGCCAACAACTAAGCCCTCAACTAGCAATCAGATACTGGTCTGAAGTGTACTCTGGAGAGAAATCCTTTTGAATAGAAAAGTTTTAATTCATTAGTCTATTCAGAGTTGTCAGATGAAATATATATTGACCCTTAATCAATCCATGGCACAAAAATTACTAGAAAAATTGAACTGACTATGACACCTGACTTAGCTCTCAACTCCCTTTGACTTTGTTAACTTGGTAACACTGTTGAAATCTGTTGTTGTTAATAGCTTTGTGTATCTATTGATTTTTCGTTTAATGTGTTTAATGTTTTGCTGTTCTGCTCATCACTAACATGATTTATCTGAAATATTAAGAAATATTAAGAAAAAAATTAGATATTTACAATCACGTTTCAAAAATAGAACTCTCAGCCATGTACTTAAATCTTTTTCTTTAACTTTAAAACTTTTTTTATAGAACTGTCCTTCCTGATTGCTACTTATATCTTGTTGTTAATGTGCTCTCAGTACTCATGTGCAACTTGAAGAACTGGCAGCTGCATCTCTGCAGGTTTTGATTATTTCATTGGTAGATATTTAATGACATCAAAACACCACCACACAATGGAATTCTCTGTGAGTCATGCACAACCATGGAACATCATGGACCATGAGTGAACAGACTGATGGAGAAACAGCCAGTTTCACTGCAGTCTATGGAAATTAAAATAAATAAATAAATAAATAAAAGACTTCTAAATACAAGAGTATATTGTAATTATATGTATTCACACACAGGCACACAAAGAACGACATTGAACAGAGTGAGCACAGTGTGCCAAGAACACAAAAAAACCAGCCAAAAAGGGAAGGACAGCAGGGAAAAAGGCAACAGATGAACATTAAGCTGCCATGCTGAGGAATTTATTTGCGTCTTTTACTTGGTTGAAGGCGAAGCTGTTGGACAGCTGCTTCAGCAGCGGCGATGGCTGCCCCAGCATCTTCAAGGTGAGTTTGAGTGACGCTGGTTTTGCTTTGGCTGCGGGATGGACCATGAGAACGTAGATGTCCTTCAGAGGAAGATTTGGAGCTCCCTGGACTGCTGTGGGATTTCTCAATGGTGGGCACCTGCATGTCTACTGAGAAAATGAAGAAGCACAAAAGCTGCATTTATTTCAAACAAACAAACAGTTTCATTTTCTTTCTCTTGTTTGGCCTTTCTAGCTGCATTCCAGAACAACAAATAAAGATTAAGTTGTGCAATGCCATACAAAGTCTTGGGATATATTGTGATAAGGAAACTCTTACAAAACACCATTTTCTACTTCCCCACTGTTCCCAGGGAATAATTAATTTACAACTGGGTTTCTGTCATCTGTGAATTATGCCTCCTGTGCTGGTTAACACTGATGGAATGACAGGGTAGCCCCAAAACTAATGCATTTTCTACTTTATACTTTTCTAGTATCTAGAGGCCAGCTACCATCACTTACACTGATATGGAATCCTTAGTTAATGCAAGCAGTTTTATTCTGATGAATGACTCAATCAAAATCATAGCCTAACTTACATTAGCTTCTATACTAACCTCTAATTTAGATATAAATCTTACACAGACACCAATCCTTAGCAAAACATTACACAGAGAAACAGAGAGGAGATGGTGCAGAGTCTCATAACTTTGAGGCTCTCATCTGGATGCTATTTGGGTTGGCTTTTCCTTTTAAATGACATATACTGTGTTTTAAGTGAACAACTGGCCACTGACTGCTTAGTATAAAGAAAAAAAGAAGAGATAAATTTATTGGAGCAGAAGACACTGAGAATATCAGCTCCACCGATTTCCAATACAATTAAGATGCTACAGCCCATTATCATTGACTGGAAATGCATATGCATTGCTATAGCATAACAGTTATTCCGTAAAATATTAACGTGACATTTCCAGAAGATAAAGTGCCATAGAATATTTAAGTAACATGAAAAGTAGAAAGCTAAATATGTATTGATTTTGGCCGAGGCTACCAGAAAAATGAAAAGGGCACAGAATCAATAGTAGATGTGCAAAGCTCATAGAGCTTGTAAACTGCTGTTTTAAGGGCACAGACATTCAGTAAGCTGGTTGGCACTGATCAAGCCAAATTAGGCCATGGCTTCAATGAATTAGTCACTGAGATAAATAAGTTTGTAATAAAAGTGTATACAAACTTCATGGCAGTAACTATTTTTCTATTAGAACTTACACATAGCAAAGGTTTTCCCATAATCTAGGAAAACATTTCATATCAGGTGCACCAAGGTATTCCTACCCTTGGAGGGGTCTGGGAAGATTCCATGACTTCTGCTCTTGATGACAGATGGTTTTGGAGATTGTTGGCTACTCTGTCCAGAATGGGATTTCCCATGATCAATGTTTTCACTCTGTTCTTTCAGAGGGTACCACCGAGGAGTGCTGTCAAGCTGAGAGATGCTGGATAACTCAATCAATACCTACAAATAAATAAAAGTACAATATATGGCCTGGATCTGATCAATTAATGATGTTGTACAGCAGAAGAGTCTACAGTTTTGTTACCAAAAGTTGCACTCAAACATAAGAAGTTAAGGGTATAAGGCTGTAAGCAAACAGCTTCAGGACTCTCTGCCCATGCTCTGACTTCACTTGATATAAGCCAGCTGTCATCACAAACCCGCATTTGTTAGCATATTGATGTGTCTGAACTAATATGTCTTCTCAGCAGGACCTCAGTAAGGACTATGAACTTAGACATAGCTCCATACCAATATGTCTACATAGTTTAAAGGGTAGCTTGTGAGCACTATCTTGAAAACTAGACTGAAAGACATCCAGTTATTCTGCCTCCATAAAAAGATATTCTAACAGATGAATTAGGTAGCATTATTTTCTCCCTTTTGTCAGTGTTAGCAAATGGGCAAGCAATTCAATATTTGTTTTTAATAAGGCCTTCCATAATATGAGACTGATGCTTGTTGATTCTTTAAAAAAATCCACATATGCAGAATTTGTAACAGAAAGAAAGGTTGTATATGACCTGGCTTCTTCTTTCTGGTTAGGTCTATACTTAATCTGAATGAAGTAACTATTTAGCATGGTCCCTGGTACAGTTTTTGGTCATAGTTTTGGGAATGACCTGGAAAACGGCATGGCTGAGGATTGCTCCCAATGGGCTGGGGGCTTTGATTTGCAGAAGAGGGTTCACATTCCATGGGTGTGAACCATGATGTGCCACCTGCCTTCTGAGGCATGCACGTGGTGCTGGCCCTATTCAAGCAAGTCCTTAGGGCACAATTTGGATATTCCATTATATCTGATGTTATGGTGCAGGATCCTTCTGGACATTCTGGTGCTGAAATACACTGAATAGTATTTTCTGTTCCTTTTTTTCCATTTTTTCATATTTGTGTGTGAATGATTTAATAAATAAAACAGTTCTAGAGGTTGAAAATACTTGAAGGCAAAAGTTTAAATTTTCCTATAGAAGCAGCTGCTGGAGCATCCATTTTCTCAATGTCATAAATAATGAAGTAAATATTCAGTAAGTTCTGCATTTGGACAAACATGCTGAATTCAACAAGAATACTGTTGTGGTATGCAGGAAATAAGTAATCATGTAGCTGCTTCCTATATATTTATTTTAGTAATTGTTCAAAAAGTGACACTGATTACTCAGTTTTGTAGTTGCACAAAGGGCAACTGGAGCTGAACTGAGTGTCTTTTCCGTGAAATTCCAATGCAGAATGAGCAGAAACACTCTGAGTTACTCTGTATATGAGAGACCAATTTTTATGGGCTTCTGTTTCTAATTATAATCCTCTTTTGTAATAACATTTTTAAATACTTTTTGACATCATAGTTATTGCTGGTAATTCTGTATTACATGTGCATGTTTGTTTATTTGCTTTTAAAAGAGATAGCATACTTCCCATGATCATTCATCTCACTTTTTCTTAAATACGAGATTTTTCCTTCAGTCATACATTGGTAATGATATTACTATTTTGTAGTGTTAAAAATCAGACCTTGACCAGCAAGACCAAATTACTCACACTTGCAGATACTTCTGTGTGTGCTAATTTATGGTTTGATGACAGAATTTATTCCTTTAATCATTTATAAAGACCAATACCTCCTCAGCCTTCCCATCTCATGTTAAAATCAAGGCAGACAGCATATCAGTCATAACAAGAATTCCCCATTCAGTCACTGTGAAGGTTGTTACTATCTCAGACTTAAAAAAAAATATTAATTTTCAGTGAAGTAACATTGTGTTGAGTCCTAAAAGAACTTGTCCACAGTTTAGTGAGATAAAGAGAAGGCATCTGTCATGTGTAAATAAAAGAAATCATGACCATTTGTTATGAATTCAGCAGTAAAATTGTGATGTAACAAAGGTTTTACTTAACACATGTACCATAGCAGTCTTCAAATACCAGCATGCAGTGAATCAACTTTCTAACTAGTCAGGATCAGAGAGGAGGAAATAAGATACTCACTTCACCAAGGAAGTCATTGGAGGAGAATCTATCATAATCCCAGACAGTCACTTCCAGTGTTTTCTTTTTCAGCTGAAATTTAAGTCAAAGGATAATTAACCCCACTGACATCCTAAACCTCAGATCAAGTCTTCATGATGGTTTCTATTCAGTATATCCTCCTTGTACCTTTTTTCTTAGTGACAGCTAGGAAGCTTTTGTCCTCCCATCAACCTTGATCTCAGAAAAAATTATTTGGGTCTATTATTTATCAAGACAAATGGGTTTGTGTTTGGCCCTATTCTAGGAATTTCCACAAGTTGTTTTTGACAGAATGTCTGTCCATAACAAAAGCCAAACTGATTTTTAAAGCCTCATTTATGTATTTCTGTAGCTTTTTTCATAGTCAGATCTGAGTTGTCTGAACTAATTTGCCTAAAGTACTTTTGATTATGAATTTCAAATGTATTATTTAAAACACCCTATTTACACAATCTAATCTGTGAAGACCAAGCTTTAATACTCCTGCAATTCAGTGTAGTCTATGAGACTCTGCAAGAGATCCAGACATGCAGGACAAGTTGTGCTGTTAGGTATTAATGACAGCCATCTAACCCCATTATCTGCAGACCTGGTTAAGGATGAGAGCTGTGTCAAGCACTCTTAGTACAGGCTACAGGAAGAAACAAGTCTTTTTATATGACAAGATAGCTCAAGACAGAGAAGCTGTTGATCAAAGCAGTTGATCTTATTGAAAAGATTGACCTGAGTGTCATTCCAGGAGTCTGTGGGCACACATGGGGAAAGGATTGATTACCAGTGTTGCATTTTGGGGCAAAAGGCTAGCAGGTGGCTGGAGAGGCAGTAATAAATTCATGTGCCTTGAAAGAGAGGACAAAATTCTGAGAGTATGGGATGTCTGTGAAGTTAGACTGAGAAGTTGTGAGTGAAGATTTGTTGGACCCTTCCAGGTATTATTAAGGAAACCAGGACTCTGTTCACATACTTGAGTAAAAGAGGTCTGTATCAGAAATCTGATGTGATGCTTGAGGTCATCATCCTAAGAGAAGCAATGTGTCACTCACTGCCCTGACTGTAAATTGGCTGCTTGGGACAAACGGACAACAAAGAATCAAGTCATGGTTCAAAATCATAAGCTATAACATTTACTGTACATGTTACATATACTTTCAAGGAAAGCATTGTTTGCTATTGACCTCCACTGCCGCTTGGTTTAGTGCAGCACAGATTCAGACAGGTCTTAATAAATTTAAACTGCTTTAAAAGAAAATTTCAACTCATTATTATGTATTTGGAATATCTTCTGCTTCCAGCTAACTTTAGAAGAATGAGCCACTATGCAAAGCCAATGTCTTTGAAAATCAAGTTTAAATCAGTATATCCTGGAAAACACACACAAAGGGGAATTGCACTTTTTTAACATCAACAATGTACCCTTTAAGCAGGGCACACCATGACGTGAAGGTTAAGACAAAAAAAATATTTGAGAGCAATTCTTTAATCTGTTTTATTCCTATATAATTAGGCAACATTCTTCTTAAACTTTCTTTTTAAAAATATCCTGCAAAAATTAATGAAAAAGTTGAACCAAAATTTTCGCTTTTGAACATTCTTAACAGAATATCTGTCAAGCTGATTTCTTTGACTGAATAAAATTCCTTTTCTTTGCTATTCCAAGACAGTATTGAAAAGGCAACATGAAAAATAACCTGACAAAAATGAGTTGAGCAGCCACTGGTCTATAATACCTTTAGCTTCATGAATGACATAATTTCCTACTAGATGTTATATTAGGTATATGTATTTTTACCTTTTAAAAAAGAGGAATAGTATAAATATTTTTCAAAAACATATTGTCTTAATTATTGCTATTTTGGGGGGACATGTAGTCTTATGTTTCTAGTGATGACTTTGTAAGGAAAGAGAGAAGAATGTATCGATCCAGGAAAGGGAAAAAAGTCACCCAAGATTTGAAGGAATTTTGGTGGAAAAGGGAAAAGTAGAGATTTTCAAGTAACTGCAGCCCTACTTTGCTAGCTTCTTTGCATTAGTATGATAATAAAACTGTGTGAAAAACTTGCAGTACTCTACATTTCTTTGAGCCTCTATTTTAAGCCTCTTAGTTTAATAAAGCTTTTATAAAATATTATGACAATGAAAAACCATCAAAAGAGCTTTATTAGGCAGAGTGCATGAAATGAGTTTCAAAGATGAGGAAAATTTACTTTTCTGAAGATATCTTTATGTGCCACTACTGAAGGCAAAGAAGTGAATGGCTAGTGATTTTAAAAGCAGCCATTCTACCATCACAGCAAAGCAGAGTTCTGCCTAACATCATCCAGTTTTAGGTCATCAAGCCAGAAGCTCAGATCCCCATCAGGAATTTAACTGACAGAAATAATGAAATAGGTTTCAGAAATCTACTCGCCATCTGATAGCAAGTTTCTGCAAGTGGGCAATGCACCAACAGGAAAATAAGAAAGTGTCCCTAAAGGAAGGAAAGCAGTTTCCACATGTTGTGAAGCTTATCTGAGTTCCAAGCATATTATGAAAATTAGTGCTAAGCTGCAACTCATTTCAGGCTTTGCTTTGTGGAAAAATGTCCTGGTTTTGCTGGGATTGAATTGTAGAATTCCCTTTTCTGTTTCAACAGAATTGTATTTCTGTGAGAACTGCAGTGTTCAATTTAGTGAACATAAGTTGATATTATAGCTTTAGATGGGATAGAGTTATTTTCCTTACAGTAGCTGATAAGATTTTTGTTTTGGTTCTTGCCAATTGATGTTTATATTATCTTCAATAAAATGTCTTCTATCCCACATATGTCACACTCACTATAAAATGGGGAGTTTGTTGGGGATGACCCCTTCCTTCTTCCATTCCTTCCCTTCTACTTCGTGATGGTGGCCTGTCTCAGTTCCTGTGGCTTACTCCCTTGTCACATTTTCATTGGGTGCACGGCCAGTGAATGCTGTTTGTGAACTGAGAATACCTTTGACTGCTTTATTATGGCTGTTCCTATTTTTATTAAAATTCAGTAGTAGCAGTAGCAGAGGTCGTAGTAGTAGTCATAGTAGTAGTAGTAGTAGTAGTTCAGTTTGGTTTATTTTAGTTATCAAATAGTCTTTATTCTGATAAAACTTCAGCTGCTGAGTTCTTTTAATTTTACTTTTCCAAATCTCTTGCCCTGACCCAATGGGGAAGGTAACACTGAGCAATTGGCTTAGTGGTATTTAGCTGCTTGCTGGGTTATTAAAAATATTTTATTTTAAAAAAGTAAAAATTAAACAATAAAATCCCACTTAAAAGCGTATTACTGCATGTGAACTCCAGTAAGCTTTAGGCTGCTGTGGACAACCATAATTTAAAGAAAATTAAGGAGTATGAAGAAACAGACCATGAGAATAATATTTTGTCTTATGGAAGATATAACCAACACCACACATACAGAAGTGTCTGTTTCTTGTTCTAAATCTCTGGAGATCACTGGGTATTGTTACAGATAATGCAGGTCTGCGTAAGTAAATATGCATTATTTGAAATATTTAAGACATATTCCTTGAAAATCTCGTACAACTAGAGGAAAGAAATAATTTTAATGGTTTGTTTTTTCTCCTATGCTGAATATAAATTCCTGTAATGTCCTGGTTTGAGCTAAATAGAACTAATTTTCTATTTAGTGATTTTACTTTTCAGCTCAGTCTCTTCTAAGTGGCTGTACTTGCTGAAACTAACGGCATGTTTTGCCAGGCAATGCGTACTTCTACAGGTGATAATGACAAGGCCACTGTCTCACCTTGGGTGCCGTATCTGAACCTATGGGGAGGGGTGGACCCAAAACTGACCAAGTTTTATTCCATCCCACATATGTCATACTCAGTATAAAGCTGAAGGATCTCGAGGGTCTTGACCCTTCCATCTTGGACCTTCCCTTCCATCTCGAACCTTCTTCCCTCCGGTTCTTCTGATCCAGCCATGGCAGAAGTTCAAGCAGAACCCTGCTCGTTCATCTGACACCAATGCTGATCCATGTGTTCCCGCATCCTGCTCCCACCTGCTTCGGGGTCCAGTCTGAGACTTTTCCAGTGCCCTGCTCTGCCAAGCCTCTGGTAACGTAATTGTCACTGGGGGGAGTGGGGGGAGGATTTTATATTGGTTTTATATATACTTGTACATATTTGCATATGCTTCATTATTTTCCTATTGACATTATTATCCTGTGGTATTAGTATTGTTTTATTAATCTGTTAGTTTTATTTTCCAATCTGTAAAGTCCCTCTCCCTTATTCTCTTCCCCTTCCCCTTCTGGGGAGGGGAGAGGGGTTAATAGAGAGCATCTGTCTAGGATTTAGTAGCCAGCCCAGCCCTAAACAACAACATATAATTACTTCAGAAATAATATTAAAAAATGAAGTCTAAGGTAGGATATTTGATGTGTAAAAATGAAGTTCTACTACATCATGCATTATACTTGTGTTTACATTCATATTCAACATTTTATTGTACTCTTCTCTATATTACTGTACTTCAGTATGTGGGAGAACATAAAGACTTTTACTAGCTCACTTAGAAAATTACTTTCTCTCTTCTGAGAAATTAAGTAAGATTTAGGTGCCAATACCTTGCTGATTCATAAAGGAGGCTTTTCCTGCTTTTGGAAATCAGACATAGGTTCCTACGTGACTCAAGGATTTTGAAAATATTAGTCTTTCCAAATATATTACCTTCAGTTTAAGGACATAAGTTATAGCAAGGGCTATCTGCTTTAAGGAATTATATCCATCATTTAAGGAAACACTTTTATTTACTTCAGAAAGGTAAGAAATTGAAGTAAACAAAGCCACACTATATACTGTGGCCATTATAACAATGGCCTGACAAGCAACAGAACGTACATCTTTTACCATCTTATACTTAAATAATTCTAATTCTTTCATACACTGAGTAGGTATTTGACTTGAATTAGCAATTATTACACAATATTTGTAATGCCTGTACTTGGTCTTCCTCTCAAACTGTGATTATCTCCACTTTATTACTAAACAAAAAACTTAAATTACTAAATATGCACATTTTAATTTATTTTTTCTCTGTCAAAGTAGAAAAAATTTGCTACGTGTAAAACTAATCATTCCGACCTTGAAAAGGTCTGTTTCATTTCAAAGAGTGATCTGTTTCCCATAATTATTTTCACTTTTATTTCAGCTAGGTCATGAAAGAGAAAAGAAAAGTGAAAAATTGTACAACCAGCTAAAGTCTAGACAGTGACGTTAAAAGGACTATATTAGGAAATATTTGATAATTTATTTGCTGCCAGCAAGCAACCCATGCTTTGATGGAGGGAAAGTAAATGCTTATTTGAAGAAATAGTATTTATAAAGATTCATGAGTTTATATTAGCATATGACTGCTAACTCCATACAACTTGGTGCACAATGCAGCTTTGCTTGTTACTGCATGTGAACTGTTCTACCATTTGTGCAAGCCTATACAAAACAGCATGTAAATCCCAGCAAACCACAACCACTACATACAACAGGGTACCTCGGAAGTATGTAGCTTTATATCTTCGTTTTTTATCTCTCCTTGTACTCCATTATAATTTTTTAAATTGCCACATCTGTACTTCTGATATGAGTATAATCCTTACAAATTACTGTTTTTATGATTAGAAGGGACATGAAAAGAGTATTGATACAGTAAGCTCTATCAAAGACAAGGAAGTAGTTCCAAACTTTCCCTAAATTTGGCAAGATTTCACAGGGGTTCACAGAACTGTCAGTAGCACTGCTCCTTTCACAGGAAGCACTGCAAACCATACAAATAATAAAGCAGCAAATCGCACTGAACAGTACTACCAGTCACCAACCTGCTCCATGGAGATATTTTTATAAATGACCGTCTGATTCCACTCCGGATTCAAGCTTTTTTGTACATACTTAGTTCTCCGCTTGTACTCAGCACTGAATTTGAACAAAGGAAGGAAAGATTACATTAGTGATCTTTCGTTTCTTTCAGTTCTAATGCAAAAAATGACCCTGAAACAAACAAACAAAAAACCCCAACCAAACAAAAACTAATAGAAAAAGAAAATAATTGCATTTCCCATTTCTGGAACAACTCAGATTTACAAGACAACGACAGCCTTTGGGTTTTTCATCTTTATTATGGTTTCCTGACATGGTCTTTTAAAACATCTTCTGCTGACTCTTCAGCAGGCTGGCTCTGCCTACAACCATTTCAACATAAAGCATCAGTCAGCACACACACATATGCTTTGTTCTCACATTCTAGGTGTTAGGCTCTGATTATAAATTGAAGTGATAATGGATTGATTTCTTTTTCAAGATCATCCTCCTATTAGCACTTTAAAGTAGCACAAATTCATTATATTTATACGTTGCAGTCTCTAATTACAGGAGGCCCATCTCACAAGAACGTTTAATGAATGCCATGGGGTAACTAATATCCTGTTAATGATAGAAACACTAATTTCTTATTGATCCTGTTCCCTGCCTATACCTCTAACCATACTGGAAGCAGACATAAAAGTGCATCAAACTCATGATGATTTTTATCAATAGCCAAGAATAAAAAAGTTTGGCTGCATAGTCTGTTTTTAAAAAGAATCAGTAGTGCTTTCTATTGTGCCTTGCATTTCCTGAGTACGGAGAAAGCAATACACTAACCTTTAACAGAATATGGATTCATCTAGCTCTGTGAGCTTTGCTGTCAGATTTGCTTCTGTTCCAATTTTAATTTAATAGAAATGTTAATGAACATGGCAAAAGAGCTCAGTAGGAGAACATTGGAAGCTTTTAATACTTTGAAAACCTGAGAAGATATAAAGAATCTCTTTTTGCCAGTGTGCAAGTCAACTGACCTTTGTCTTCCGTTCAAACCTCCCATACATTAAAGGGCTTACACGCTATATATATATTATCAAATTAAATGTGCTCAGAACTGTTTTCCAACACTAAGGCCAAATGGCAAAGAATGATGTGTATCTGCACTATTAAACTCTCTTATGGTTCCCCTACATGAATTTGTGGTATTGTGTTCTCCTGATTCTCACTTCTGGCTTTTGATTGCACTGTGTTTTGGTTTACACTGTGACATGGTCTCAGAGCTAATGAAATAGTTTTTTTCACATTAGATTGACTCAGAAGATGTATTCCAGGAACTAATTTAATCAGCTAGTAACTAATGGTGTGCCATGCATGGTACCAGATTGGAGCAGGTCTGCATTAAGATTACATGAAAGAATCATGTGTTTTAGTATCACCTATACACCTATGTTGGGTCTTCAGCACCAGCAGTTTCACTCTACAAACTCGATTCTACTGTGCAGTGCTCCCTTCCAAATATTCTGGAGCATTTAGTGGCCTTACTAACCAAAGGACGTGGTCATATCCAAGCTGCTTACTAGACTGATACCTTTTAATGAAAGGGACTTGCAGTTATTTTTTAATTTTTGTTTTAGTCATTATTTGCAGTTCCATTTATTTTCTTGCAAAACACACTATCACCATCTTCCAGTTTATCAAAAAATGTGAAGGGCATTGAGATCCATGAAACAAAGTATCTGTCCAGCTCTGCTTATGAGAAGAAAGCAGCAACTCTCCACACTTCAATCAGTTTTGTCAGCCACAGCATACAGTGGTATACTTTTGAAAAAAAGGAATCTTTTTTTCTTGTATGTCAGTTAGAAAATGATTAATTAAAATCTAGAGGGACCAAGAGCATATGAAAAAGAAACTCACACAATGTTATTTCGTTGCATATCTTGGAAGGAAAGCTGAAATACAATATCTGAATCCTTTTGGAAACTAGGTTTGATGGCAAATCCTATTCAGTACTGCACTTAAATTTTTTAAGCACCTCAGAAGCCTTCTTTTCCCATTCTCTCATCTGAGAAAAGCATACCCATCACTCAAAATATTAATGAGATACAACTTACCCATATGGAGACATGGGACATGGCCAAGTGAAAGCTTGGCTGGCAGCATCTCTTTCTCTCTCTGGGCTCAGAGTACTCCTCAAATGAATGTCTATTCTGATCAACTACTAATGAAATATTAACTTATCCAAACTCATCCTACACCTAGAGGAAACCACTTACTTCTTACCTTGATTATACCAGGATAGTGTTTTACAGCTTGGGCCTGTCTAAACATCATATGATCTACTGGTTTTAGGGAACTGATACACGTTAATCTTTTTTAAGAAAGTAGGAAAGGACCCTTCGTGCACTCAGTCAAGAAAATGACACCAAGACATTCCCTTTCCTTGCATGGATTTCCTCTTGCAATATTACAATTCCATCACCTTTTCAAAGCTTCTGATTCTTTTCAGAAATATAAGATGCATGCAGTGTTGGATTTCAGAGCTGGCAGTGACAAAAGGTAAGTGTGTTGTTAACATGGTAACTCTGGAGTATTTCCAGCGAAGTCCATAGTTTGTCGATCTAAACTGGCAAGGTTGGCATTAGCCTGCATTCATGTAACCTATTGTCTGGACCTGCTGCAGAAGGAAGCAGGAGACCTTGACCACTTCTAAGAAGGTGCAGACCCAGGCTAAGCTGGATGACAGCTGAAGGTACCTAGACCTCTGAAGAAAAGGATCTGGCAAATACATTAAGTTCATACCACTGATGCACCTTCCCCCCCACAACTGTGATTAACAGAAGGAGATGTTTTAATACAATGGATTCATTAAATCAGTCTATACCTAGAACAAAATAGTATGCATTTGAAATTCACACAGTATGCTGTGTGAAAGTACGCAAACTGCGTTACTCTCCTATTGTTTCTTTGTGCTTCCCTAATTATAGTTACTTAACATATAATACAACTGAAAGTACAATGAAAAAAGTATAATAGAACAACTGCCTATAAAATGTGGCATTTTAACATATTAATTTAGTAACTTTATCAATGAAGAAACAGGCTGATGATGGAGATCTGCTTATTAAAATTTATCTGTTGACTTCTTTTAAACAGATTCAGAATTAAGGCTGAATTACTATTATATACTTAGCTTGAGCTGATATTAGCATATATTGAGAATAGAGTTTTTTCTTATGTTTCCAATTCCAGGACAAACAAGGCAACAGTAATTTCAACAACTAAAAATTCAACTTTGTTTACCATGAATAGCCATTTATGTGGTCAAGCAGTTTTAAAGTCAGCTGGGCAATTATTTAGTAGTATACCTGGTTTTCTATTTCATGTCCAAACAGTGCCTGTTTCTGTTGGCAGTAACACCATTCAAAATCTTGATACAAGTTCACAGTTAATTAATTTGCAACTTTCAGTGAATGAGAATGAATTTTTAGATATCTCTGAACTAAATCCTTCCAGACTTCAAAATAAATTTTGTTTGTCATCAAAGTTTGGCCCTAGAATATTACTGCATCAAGGAACATTAACTACTTTTTTCCAGTTCCTTCTGACTTGGAAATGGGATTCATCAGAGAACGAACAGAAAAACCATGCTGCAATCACATGTTGTCAAGAGAAATCTATATCTCAATGCACAGGCATATCATAATATCATGCATGTAAACAAAATTGAAAGAATAAAATTAGAAGATAGGAAACTCTACCTTGCATTTTGGACAACCATGACTTGTCTGCATATCCAGCATTTACAGAGTTAGGAACACAGAGGAAGCAGTGTGAGAGAAAATGGGAGCAGAGATGAAAGAAAACATGTGAATAATGGGTAGTTTCTAGTATCAGAATCAAAGAAAATAGAAGCATTAGGAAGAATAAGTCTAGCACGGACTGAACTAGAGATAAAAAGATATTCAGTAGCAATTCAAGTTTCTGCTTTCAGAAACACGTTTGGCACTTCTGAGAAGCTTTTCATTTTCATTATTCCCTAAATCCTCAAGTTACATGCAAAACTGTAACATTGCTATATTTTAAAACAGTGAATCCTAAAAAACCTAAAATCCAAATTCTTCATAAGTTGGTCGCAAGTTTAAAGCTATACTTGGCTCTGGCTTACAGCTCTGCAGGGTGAATATCTCTCTAGTTCAAAGCCTTATTCCTACATCAGTGAATGTACCTGCAAAATTCCCAGTAAGATTGATTTGACATGTATTTTACAAGTCTCTTAGGTGCATTAAAAAACCCCTCAAGATTTAGGACTTGTTCCCATTATATTCAGTAATAGTTTTGGGCCCAGTGCCACTGAACAATATTGAATGCTGTATAGCTGGAAAAGCTACAAAGGAATATGCGTGCCTTTCTTTGTACCATTCATGTGCTTTTAGTGGTGCTTGCCCATATGCCAAATGCTGAACTGTGACCTGAGCATCCACTTTCCTGTTACTTTGAATAGAACAGAAATAGGTCCTAGCCTAAGAGTCTTTTAGGATGAGTGTGGTTACACTTCAGTGCAGTCTGAGGTCTGATCCATCAGCTGATCTAAAGATATTGTCACTGAAGTCAGCAGGATTATTACAACCATGTATACTTATCCATATGTATGACATTCTGCAACTTAAGGGCACAAAAAAGAGTTATAATATTGCTGATACAGAAACATATCTTTTAAAGGAAACACTAATGCATTATTTATAATTATAGAATCTAAAAAAGCAACGGTCTATGAAAAAGTGATCAGTGACTTGTATAGTCACTAGATACAAAATTACCAAAATTTCCAAAACTACATTTTAGCTCTTAAAAAAAAAGTCATGAAAATCACATGGAATGATTTTTTACTGTCTACTATTTCTCACCTTTGGTATTATACTGCAACTTTAAATTTATCTCAGGTACTCTAATTCTGTGTGTTTGCAAATCTGTCCCAAATTCAGAGAGTCTTGAACTAAAGAAGCAATTCCATTTTAACCTTAACGTGCAGCTTTCCATACTGCAGAAAGTATTACAAATATTTAGTGCATTTCTGTAGTCTTTGTTCATTTTTAATACATATTTTTGCATGTGTTTAATTTTTACATGGAAAGAAAATAATTCTATTGGAATGATCATGAAATTCCTGAAGTCATTAGCAAATTACAGACATTCTCCTGGAAATAGGATCAGGCTCTCTGTTAAAGATCCACAATCTTTCCTGGTGTTGTACCTGGATTTCCTGTAGCAATAACTCTCAGTTCTGATTGACAAGTAACAAACCCAAATTAAAAGCAAGTTAAAATGAAAATGTCTCCTACACTTACCCTCTCCCTGGAAGAAGATAAACTTTGACAAAGGGGTCAGAATAGCCATTGTTGTCTCTGGGAGCAAGGTTTCTTGCCTGAAGGATGTGGATGATAAGGTTGCCAAGGTGTTTGTCGTAGTTGATTTGAAGCTAGAGAATGCATTAAAACACAGTAAGATTGTTATTTTTACTTCCTAACTGATTCAATACCTCTCCAAAATCCTTTGAATGAAATGAGTTTTAGACATTTACTTTGGCTGAAAATAAACACACTTTCAAAGTTCCTGTCTCTCCTGACTAGACCGAGATGCTAGATAATTATGTTGGATCTTGAAACATGTTTTGCTTTCAAAGTCTGTCAGTACTGGTTAAAAAAAAAAAAAAGAAGGGAAAAAAGGATTTTTTTATTCCAGTTACAAAAGACCAGATGAAATTTGAACCCTTGATATTATTCTGGGCAATAGCCAGTTTACTGAGTAGGAATTACGCAAATTCTGACTACTTGAAGCCCAAGCTCAGCAAGGATATTATATGGAAAGAGCCTTACTACTAGTATAGGAGAAAGGGATTAATTAAAGAAATAAAACACAGAAATCTATAGGAAATTAGGCTTCGTTTATTCTGCTGCTCCCAGTTCCACTGTTTTGAAAAACTAGAGAAAAGTCAGTTTACATAAGAGAGAACCAGAAACCTGGCATTACATGGAAATGAATCCACTGCACTATGAGAAACACATAGCAGCCTTTGCCTAAATGTAGAGTCTGGGAATTAAGTAAACAACAATAAGCACCCAAAGATTAAAGATTAAAATGAATGTCACAATGTTTATAACCCCTTCAGGAACACCAGCTTTTTCCATTCTTCTGTTTGTATTTCATATGCCAATGTTAAAAACAATTGAAAATACGTTAGTGATATTTCAAGGGGTTGGAATTGAATAAGAAATTACTTAATGGAGACTGTTTTCTGCAAACTTATTTATCAGAAAAATGCAGCCAGTAGCAACAGCAATTTACACAGCAAAATTTACATATTTACCTGAATTTCTCCAGTGATTGGATGGGAAGCAGACTTCGTACTTTCAGTGGGCTGCCAGATGAAAATACATAAATAAATACATAGGCACACACAAATATACACATGTGCATATTGGAAATAATAGATTTTCAAAGTTAAGTTTTTTAACAGGTGTTGTTTATACTGCTGTATTGCCACATATTTTTAAAAACCATTTAATTTTCTCCAATTTGTATGCTCAAAACTAATATTTATGGTATTTCAACAGCATTTAAGTTCATCCCAGCAATTTTGATCAGCCTTTGTGCAAGTAGAGAATCAGAAAACTTGAAAATTGAAGTCTTTACAGTCTGAGCAGATTGGTCACACAGGGAGGTGTGGGGAGAAAAAAACATATAGCATTAACCTTGTCTAACAAAAGTGAATGCTGCAAAGAGAAACCAAATAACACGTCAAGCACAACACAGCAATATTTCTATTAAAAGACAAAGGTTAGACTAGTTTAAATTGAGCTTAGATGAAACTGGGTTGAAAGAGTGGATTGAATGATACTAAAATGGATTGATGTGTATAAGTGGATTTCATAATTCCAAGTCATCCCATGTAACATTTTTTGGTTTATTCTGTGTTTTCTCATAATCAATCCAGCTACACCACTTCATCTTCAAAATACTCCACGCACTTTTCATTACATGGAATTTAAATTTTCTGTCCTCCCCTTTACAGAGCTGTATAATCTTGCTTGTCCCTCTCTGTTCTCTATCACTGAGCTTCTCTAGGTTGCTGATAAAAGAAATTAAATTCTTCGTGTCTTTTTTTGGTCCATTTTTCTTTCCTCCTATTTGTTAGTAGTTGGAAAATAATATCACCATTTGCTTCAAATCCTGGACTCTCAAAAAAATTATGTTCTGTTAAATGGTGGTGCCCTTGAGCCACCGTGGATCTACCTCTAATCTGCAAGCCATCAGTCAAGCAAGAAAGCTCTCTCTGGTTCAGTAGCAAGGTTTGAATATTTTTGCATTCTCTCCACATCTGCTTCCTTGGTTGATGCAGCAGAAAACAAAGGATGCAAACAAGGACAAACTTACTGTTCTCTGAAGACTGATCTGGAAGTCTTCTTTTCTTATTTTTCCAGATGTGACCAGCAGCCTGACATACTATTCTGTGTAATCAGGATTTCTTTCACTTTCTGAGAGAAGTAAAACTCATATGTCTCTTTTGTGCTGCCTTACCCTCCAATAAAACCTGTAAGAGATTTTCTCAGGATGTTGAATATTATTTGTTTTAAATTAGGCTAATGCAGAGTCTATGTCATCTGGACCAGAGCATGAAGTTAAGGTGATGCACTACCCTGAGCAGGATTGCGATGAATAAACATTCCCTCAGTCACTCAGATCTGCAGACCAGAACTAACCAGGAAAATCCCAGCCAAACACTAGTGCAACAAACAAGGGAGAAAACCAGCCCAAACCTGCCTGTTCTATAGATATATCTACTGCCTTGTGTTGCCTTTTTTTGGTTTGTTTTACTTGCTTTACCTTGCAATCTACATGTGTTCCTTTATGAAAACAAAATAAACAAACAAAAACAACCCTTGATTTTTCTGGATATACATGAACCTCTAAAAATAATTCTCATGCAAATTTCTTAAATCAGCTTTTCTTAGTACCTTACAAGGCTTTTAAAGAAGTGTAATCCCGCTAACAGCTAAAATAGGTCATAAATAGTTTATAAAAGGTTTAGAATCTTAAATAATATTTTAAACTGATAGCAAACTACTCCTAAAACTTGTTTGGTCCTTGAAAGAATATTCAAAGACAAAATTTCACTCATTTTGTCAAAGACAGAGGCCTACCTGAGCATCATGGAAACTCTCAAAGCAGGGTTCAAATGGCTTACACTTTTCATACTTTATGTCTACAAATGGGTTTTATTATACTTTAATAGTTCTGACCTAAGTCTGTATTAGTACTGACATTGCTATGAAATAACATGGAATCGACTGTGCCACAGCTACAAAATCACTGCTGGATAGCCTAAATACTCTGATTTTTCATAAGCTTGAGTAGCAACACTAATGAGTTTGCTCACTCCTAATATCATGTAATACAGAATGTATTGGTATGGATACTGTTGAAAGAGTTCAGAGAAAAGGGAATTTGTGTGGGAACTTTCAAAGGTGGCTAAAGGGAACTCCACTTTAGCCACACAGTCATTTTGCTTTCATACACTTGTCTGTAAAGATAAAGCAGCATTCTTCTGTTTCTGTATGATGGTTAAACCTCTGTATCCATTTACAAGACTGTGATTCAGCATATTAAACATCTTGTTTTCTCTCTGATGTCAGCTAGTCTGAAACTCACCATGAAGAACTACCCTAATATTCCAACGAAACATGAATAATTTAGGCTGAAAGGGACCTCTCAAGGTCATCTAGCCTAATCCCAAGATCAGACCTGGGCCAATTTTGAATTGGACCCGGATTGAAAAACAGAGATGCAAATAAGTATCTTTCTTTATCAGGACCTCAGTGAGGATTAATTTGTAAAGAATGAGAAGTATTTCACTGTTGACTTCTCTAGAAGCTAAAGGATCTGAGGATTTAGAAAACCAACCCATTCTTCAAGATACAAAGACAATTAAATGTTTCTATAGGGTATTTATATCCTGAATGTAAACTGCATTGTAGAATGATCATGCATTTACATTACAAAAGAAATAGGTTTTAACAGGATATAGTCAGCTCAAGGCTCCTAAAGGTTAAATCTCTCCTGATGGCTAATCTTTTTTGTTCTAATTTCCTTTGAATCTTCCTGCATGCACTCACGCATACTGTGTAAGACCCGATGCTTGGTAATGCCATCACACCTGCTGGATGGAGAAGGTTGCATTACCATGATGTGACACTTGCTAATGCCAGGCTCTGATGCTATGCACTACTGCTCTCTATAGTAATGGGACAAAGCATTAAATATGAGAGAATCAACACTGCAGAATATCAAAGAGGCTCCTAAAACATTTCTGGAGTGCATATTCTATTAAAAAAAGCTTAAAAAAAAAGAACATATTTTACTTGCTAAAAATAAGAACAGTAGTAAAAACAAGATCAGGGCAGTTTGGCTATTTAGTCTGTCATGATACTTTGGCAAGGCTGCAGCCTGCCTAGAAATGCTGTCAGCCCAAGTGGAAGAGCTGTTCCAGAAAGGATGAGCAGTAGCTTTCTCTTCTGAGAGAGCTCAACACCATTATAAACTTGGCCTGCAGTCAATGAACACAAACTACACAAGTCAACAAGATGTATCGTTGTTATGAAAGAAATTACTCTCAATGTGATTTTCAGAAATAAGCAAAGAATATTTTTAAATATTCACCTGATTAGCTTTGACTTTTGCGTCCCCTATATAAAGGCATTAGTTTTAATATTTTTTTGTTTCATCTTTATAAGCCTCTAGCTGAATTTTCGTAAAAGATTACTAAATCCTCCATGAAGCAGAAAATGAAATTTATGCATCTAACTTTAGGTGACCTGCTGCAGTGCCAAAGCTGGCAACCCAGTCTTCTCATGTTGACAGAGAGGGGCACCTTTACAAGGATACACTGCACATCAAGGGTTTATGGATCTCCATACACTATGCAGTGAATTTAGGAGTATGGTTCATCTAACCAAATGAAAAGGGTTACAGTGTAGATAATGACATCTGCACTAAGAGCTCTGCCCTCTACTTTCCATGCAGTGCATGCACTTCAATAGCAGGTTTCATCCAGTCTCATGAATTGTACTTCAGAATTGTTCCTACTGGTAAACATAAAGCACATGGCAAACTAATTCATATATGGATATATACAATATACAGAGTAAGGTGCAATGAATCCAACTATTCACCTGATGATTAGGCAATTCTGCTAGATTCCTGAAGTTAGGTGCAGTAAATCTTGACATATGGATTTAACTTGGGCATCACAGCCATGAATTAGTTCATTAAAAGTCTATGGGAACTGTGGCAAGAAATAATTACTATCCAAAACAAACTGATCAATAAATGTATTTACAGTTTTTGCTAAATTGCTGGATGAAAGAGATTTTTGTATTTTCTCTCACATGAAAGTTATCTAAGCATATTCAAGAGCTATCTGAAATGAGCAGGCACCATTTGCTGGTTTTGGTGCATATAGTACCTAATGCATTTGTACTTCAAAGCACAGTCATAGCTTCAACAGCACAAAAATACAAACATAACAATAATGCAGTTAGGAACCTGACAGTCCCAAGAAGGAATAAAGACACAGAGAAATAAATATCTAGAAAGCACCTTGCTTGCAACGTGAAGCTTTGCTTCCAATAGTAAGACAGAGAGAAGGGAGGTATGCAGAATAGCAATCAGCTTTAGCTGTCTTGCAAATTGCTTAAGGAAATGCAGTCATCTCAGGACTGATGTTCACTTCAGGTGTTAAGTTTTGTGATACAAAATGCAAAAAATAGGCAGATGACTTTATGAACTAGTTTTCAGTTTCAACTGTGAAAAAATGCTACTAAATTTCCACTCTGCCCTTTCCAGGTGTGCAGGTGGGTGCACAAGGAGAAAGAAGTTCAGCTGAGAAGTGGACAGGATGTGGCAAAGAAAATGAGAAATTCTGCTTAACAAGTGTGGCAGATTCACCCACCCTACTAAAGACCTGAGAAAGACCCAATACAAACAGTGCTAAAGTTTCTGGCCCTGGTGGCGCCAGGCCTGCCTCCCCCCTCACAGCTCATGTCTGGCCCACACAGTGGGGGTCAAAGGTGGGAAAGTTGGGGTCCTCAGTCAACAGGGGACTGACACGACCATGTATTGACCACAGATCAGATTTGACCAGGGTATAAATGGGGCCCCGTCAGAGGACTCATTTGAGTCGGTCCTCCTCGGAGCAGCGGGTCTGCAGTCGGGGACTCTCCCCTTGAGTTGGGACGCCACTTAAGGTAACTTCTCGAGATTGAGAGCCCACCCTTTTTGGTGAGTGAGTGAGTGAGTGCACATTTTGGATCATTTGGCCAAAAACTTAAGAATTCTTAACTCAGCTGTGTCTGGTAATATTCCCAACCAGCATATCGAACCTGTATTTGTTGAATGTCAGTGGAATGTTGTTTTGGTGAATGAAGATCTGACTGCTTAATTTCAGTTGCAGATTAAAAGCTTGTTTGAGTGCATTATTTGTGTGCGTGTAGCCATTTTGTGGCGATTCCATGACAAGAAGTTCACAGGAATTAGCAAGTGATAAAACACATCTTGAGAGTAAATTTATTTTTCATTCTTTCCCCAGCTTTCACGGAAATGCTTAATATTGCTATGATTATTCATAGCTTGTAACACTTCAAACAGTAGCTTAGTACAGAGAGGGAAATTATGGTCTTAATAATATCAGCTGCTTCTGTGGGACTAGTACCTCACTGTCACATAGTATGCACTTAAAAAGCAATAGCAATGAAGAATGAAAAGGGCAATTATTTTGTTTAAAAACAATAATATAAAGTTCAAGAAATCAATTTTCAGAGATGGCCCAATCACTTATGACCTTGGATAAATCACATAATCTCCTTTTCTTGTGTCCAAATTCTATATCTTAACAGTAATACTCATCACTGTCATGGAAATGAATCCATCAATATGTGCTGTGATTTTTTGCTACACTAAAGAAGATAAATAGGCAGTTTCTTCTTGTCATCAGAATGTTATTGCCATGTAACTGAGAAGTTTCTTACCTTGCTGCTGTGCCGCTTTTTGCTCACTGAGGGAGAACCAGGCTGACCAGGGCTAGGAACAGCACTGGAGGTGGCAGAAGTGGTTCCAGAGTGAACATGAGACCCCTTTTCCACTCCCGAGGAAGCAATCAGAGGCGACTGCTGTAGAGAAACCTTCTGGAGCTCTGCAGCCAGCTGCTTGGGATCGACCCCTGGAGACTTCGCTTTATCTACTGTATTAAAGTAAGAGAACTTTGTATTGATAACTGCTAGCACATTCAAATCCATCTTGCCTTGGCACAGGGACAGGATAAAGATCTTTACAACTTTTCATATCATCTGCTTGTATGCTTTGAAGATCCAAAAGGCAACTTAATAAAAATGGATGTCTCCCCCACAACATCAACATCCCAATTCCAATCTTTCTACTCAACATGCTGTCAACTGGTATTATTCATCTCACAAGCTTTCTGAGAAGTTAATTCTCTAGCTGAAGGAAAATAGGCCTTGCTGATCATGCTGAATCATATGGGAGCAAATTACAGTTTTAAAGACTGGCCTGTGCTAACTTGCAGTGTTTGGAACTGGTCTAGTTTCACCAAGTATCTGAACTTCATTTTAACCAAGCTTCAATCTTAGTTTTAATAATCTGGGCATTCAAAAAAGCTGAGTTCTGCTCCTGAGACAATTTATACTGAAATAAAGAGAAAAGGAGCTCAAAACTTTAGCACTGCAATAATAAAAACAGAATAAAGTGAAAATGAATGTAGAGTAAAAGCGCTGATTCCTCTTCCCTTGTTACACACACCTATGTGGGGCACCTGTGGTAGGAGTCTGACTGCCTTCCCTGCTGCCTGGGAATGAGTGGGGAAAATTTACCCTTTGTAGCTGGCAATCTCCATTTAACAGAGAAATTAGGACAAGTAAGTTCCAGATGTGCCTTAAAGTGCATAGAGTTGAAAGGATACTAGGTTCAGCTTGCTTCCCAGGTTCTCAGAAGTATAAGAGATTTAAGGCAATATGTTAGCCTTATCTTGCCTGCCAGGCTGTATTTGTTTTTTCTTTCTAGAGCGAATGGAGATTTTCCATTTCCAAAGCACAAATAGTCTGCAAAACCTAAGAGATGATGGCAAGGAAGACTTGGTTTGGCAGCCAGAAGGGACTCTATGGAGTTGTTCCAACTCAGAAACCAGTAGGAGATTGCTAGGCTAGGAGGAACAATGCCTGCGAGAATGGGGGAATTTACTTTTATTCTTGTTCTTTCTCATTTTAAGTTTTTTTCCATTAATAAAATGTTATTTATTCTAGCTGGATCTTTTCAAAACCTAATTTCAGTGCCCATGAATGCCTTTGGTCTGTGATCTGCTCACTGAGAAAAAAAGTTGTGGGTAGCACTGCCTCAACACTTTGTCAGAGCTGGTGTTCACTTTCAATTAATATCAATACCAACCACTTTCAACAAAAGGTAGATTCTTGGTAAGTATATTAATAGATAGGAGGATCTACATGGTCACAAAGTGGAGGATTTAATCCAGGTAACTTGTGTACTGAGTGATAAAAGAGTAGCCACAAAACCACAGGACTCAGAATGGACCCCTGAGATGCTGAGTGAAACACTATTCATCTGCACTGAGTTTGCTGAAGGGCTGCATTACTAGTAAGATTGTGGATGCTGGTTCAAAGTTAGATTAGATATGACTTTTAGATATGAACTTCACACGAAGTACTTCCTATTGCATCCCTATACCCTAGTAAATACTGTATTTTCATAAATAATAACAGGCCACAATCCTTGTTTTAAATTAACATAGGCCTTAGGACTTGCTGTCTGTTATCTGGATTCTATCCAGTCTGCTATGAGCTTTGTTTTTAGCTTGTTTGGCTGCAACAGCAGTTGTCTAATAACTAGATGTCTATGATCTTAATTTGTCCAAGTTACACTTGACCTTGTATAATTGTATGGTATAATGCCCATTCTTAAAAATTTTTTTATATAACGGCACAACAGTAATTGGACTGTGTAGACCAAAGTGTTTCTGACTCCAGATGAATAATGTAGTTCGTAGGAGCACAGTCCCAGGCTGACAGCAGAGTGCTGCAAGGTTTGGGCATGGGACGATAGCTGAGGCCCCAGGCATACCAGCAACTTGGTGGTCAGTTACTGACACTGATGCCATCTCAGGAGCTGGGCATAATAAATTTTATGGACAAAAGAAGGAAAAAAGAACAAGAATATACCACATGTAAAGTGTACGATATCCAGTCAACTCATATGCAGTGCAGAGCTGCTGACTGGTGAGGAAAGAACAATGCATGATAGAAAAACATATAAAAGGCCCCAAGCAGATCTTGAAGTGAAGAGGAAGGCATCATCAACACCATCCACCTCCCAGCAAGAAGGAGTCAAAAACTCTCACCACGAATATCACAGTCCTCCCAGCAAATTCCTCAGGACACTGTCAACTTGCTGCAATGCTCCCAGAGAGAAAGCACTGCCCACAGGGCCCCGAGAAGCTGCTTAATGGGGGACCACAATGCCACAGTTTTTGTGACATGACAGATGAAGGGGCAGCCAGCAGGAGTTTTTCCCTGGATAACAAATTTTATCTATAGTACTGTTACTGAGATTTCCCTTGTATTAATTGGATAGTGTAGACTCTGTCAGTATGGATTGAACTGGGCTGATAATAATAACCAACAACGAATACTTGGCTTTGTATATAAGGTGAAGTCCCCTTTCTGCCCATGGCAAGATGTGGTATGTAACACCTGAAGGTACAACGCTAATATTCTAGCTTATATCACATCCAATGTGTTCTATCCAGTTCTCCAGTATCAAAGACACAACCTGTCACTTACCTGGCCTTACTGGCTCATGCAGCTCCAGGTGCTGGGGATTCTCAGAGTCTGAGAGCATGTTCAGGTCCCTAAAGAAAGCAATGAGAAGCCTGAGACAAAAGAAACTCTTTCCTCATAACCTCATTGTTGTATTAAGTAGAAAAATGAATAGTGGTTCATGACAGAAAGCAGCTCCCAAAGCATGGCCCCTTCTTAGCTGATACATATTGCAATGCTATTAAAGAGCTGAGAAGAAAAGGTTCTTTTAAGGTGAAATCTTTAATGGATTGAATGCAAGTTTATACATTTCTCATGATGCTTAAATAGCCTTCATGTAAAGGATACAGATTTCAGTAAAAGTCAAGTTAGTGCTAATTTACCATCTTTTTCTAACCCCAGTAAATTCAGTGAATTTGTCAATGAGACGAGATTGTGGCCTGACAATGGAGATATCATTATTTATAAAACTATAACTACTAAAATCTGCCTCAGCTTATCTCTTCTTATGTTTTTAAAATAAAAAATAAAACCAAACAGACCTCCCACATTCACAGTGAACTCTTGCTATTTGTTACATTGATGCTTCATGCTAACAAAGGTTCCACCTTAACAACAGTAGATTTAAAAAAAAAAGCCATGAAAAGCAAAAAAAAATGGAAACAGAAAGATGGGGAAAAACTCACAGTCTTACACATATTTCTGCTTCCCCACTCTGTTGAAGAATAATGCTCTGGACTTCTTCGTAAGTTTTCCCAGTCAAGGGGATGCCATTCCATTCCAGCACCTGCATTCCTAAGAAGGCAAAACAGCACAAGATCAAGTGGTCAGATTTTGATGAGGGCATCAGGTAGACTGCTTTGACAAGGAGATTTGATGTGACATTCAGTGGATATTGTTTAAATGGCACAACACATTAGCAAGGCCCCTTCACTTCACACAGATTAGACTGTTGAATGTTATTGCCCCATCAGCTATAACTTACCTGCTGAAACAAATCAGGAGATTAAGTCCCTTCCAATTCAAACTATACATGCACTCTCCACAGTCTGGGTTGCATGATATTGGAAAAAAATTTGCAATACCAAAGACATGCATGCCTGCCAACATGGCAAGAAAGCAAAACATTTTATGTATCAGACATATCCTGGCCAGCCATGGTCTTGGAAGATTCCCTACAGTGGCACATTGCTTTTGAGAAGCCACCAAGCCTCAAAATGGAACTAAATTTATGAATGTGATTTGGTAATTCAAACACATTTTCTCTTCTTTGTCACTTAATAAAATACAACAAGATGAAGTCAGTTGGGCAAACCGATTTTAAATGAAAAATGTACCTCCACGTTTCAAACATCAGCCTGGAAATACTCAAGGTTAAATGTTTCTTTCATATTTTTTCTTATGAAAAAATGACAAAAGAGCTGAACATAACTGATTGTGGAAGACAGGAACAGGCTGACAAATACTGTATACTGATCTAATTTGTCGTGTCTTCCAAGTATCCCAGGACTGAGCCAGGAGACTCGGTATGGAGCAAGGTATCTCTATAAGGAAGCTTTATGCTCAGTATTTGTGGAGTCAATCCCTCTATAAATCATGTGAGGTGTACTCTGATAAGATGAGAAATCTTTTGGTTACAGTTAAATGCTTACAAAAAGCAAACTGTAGATTCGTATCTGGAAGTTACAACTCAGGTTCTATGAGCTGCATTCATATTTTGAAGTAGTTAGTCATAAGGATAACTCCAAAGAGATTAACTTCTCACTAATGGACAAACGTCAAAACCCAAGCCTCACACTCTAGAGAAAAAAATGCTTAATGGAACAAGATACTGAATTCTTAATAGTCCACTAAAAGCAATGTATTACGAAACATCTGAAAACCACATCATCCACACAGCAAGGAAAACCACAAACACTTAGATTGCTACCACTTACACAGATAAAACCAAGTCTTCACCTGGGTCATATTTTTATTTCAAAATCCTGCGCTGTTGCATATAACAAATGGGAAAAATAATGACGTGAAATGTGGAGATAAACTCATAGGAAAACATGCTGCTAAATAAAATCCAATGAGAATTGTTCATGGAATAAAGCATATGAAATTATTTGACAATGAAAGAATATGAGAAATAAAGACTATAACTTTATATTACAAAATTTTCCATAGGATTACTTGAATTAGGATCTGAAATATCAGATTTGCTCATAGCTTTTATCAATAAGAATTTATCATTTTGTTTACATCAGTATACAGAAATACAAACTGTGCAGAATGACTAAAAAGTGATGCTCAGAAGGCAGTAAAGCCAGCTGCTTACTGCGAAAATAGATTTGACTTTTCCTAAAATTTAGCCCCTTTCATTTACCAGCCATCATTCAAAAGCATGATCTCGCTTTTGCTTGTTAGAGCAGATCTGATTTTAAGCTCAGTTCCTCTGGAATAAAGCAACAGTAATTATGAATAAATGCAGCTCCCCCTGATTTTCTGCCATACAAATATAACAGCATGCACTCTGTCTTTAGAAGGCTTCTAGAAAGGAAGGAACTGAAGTTATTTTTGTTTTCTTGTCAATGGGTGCCCTCATAATGCTGTCATAGCATTGGATATTGAGTATGGCAGCACAAACCTCTTAAGTAAGACAAGCCAAGCCACCACTTCTATGTATTGGCAATGAACAAGAGTAAAAGTTGAAAGCTTCAGAGTTTTGAGAAAGTGGTTAACATCCTTTTCTTAAAAAAAAAAAAAAGAAAAAGAAAAAAAAAGAGCGCTGTTGACAAAATGCATTCAGGTATCCTCCTAGCTTTATCACATTCTGCTTGCATGGCTTCAGAAGAAAATTTAACACAGGAGCTGTAAGGCTATCATCAATGATGTGCTTTAATTTAAAAGACCAGCAGGAAGAGCCTGGCTGAGTACCACTGCAGCGCTGGGATTTGGAAATCAAGTCTAATTTCCACTGATGAGCATTTGAGCATTTTACTACTGAGTGCATTGGCACTGCAGTCACTTACTTGGTCAGGAAGGCCAAGCACATGTGAGCAGAGCAGCAAACCAAAAAGAAAATGAATCTCAACAGCCTTGGCTCACACAGATTCATTTAAGCTGTCAGTACAGGGGTATATTCTTTTTATCAGTTGTCTTGTGGATTCATGAATGTTTAAAATCATAACAATTTAAACATGACTTAATTGATTTGACTGACAGCCCCGAGGTGTAAGGAAAAAAGGTGATTTTTCTTTACTTAATGAGTAACTGCTAAATAACTTTTGCTGGAAAAAATAATGTTCCTTTAGGAAGAATGTGAGGTTTATCAACAAAAAGAGAAAAAAGGTACCAACAAGTCACAGGAGACTTCTGATAAAATTTTTTTTTGCTTAAAAAACAATCACTTTCTTTAATTGGTCTTTGGTAGTCAGGACATGCTGTTCACATTTCCAAAACTTTGTATGCTTCAAATCACCAGTTTAGTAGACAAAAATTAAACAGGAAGATGAGAAAACTTACATTGCTCCATGACAACTCTGCTGGCTGAGAAAGAACAAGTGATCACCCTGATAATCAAATCCATAATTTCTTCTGGCTTTTTTTTTAAATTTTATTTTATTGGGACAGCTACATCCTGCATTGATGGTGAGCAACAACTTATTTTTAGCAGTATCAGCTCCCACAGTCAACAGCATAAAGCAGATCAGCTTTATACATCAAGACCTCGTCCCTGCTCCACTAAGTGTGCTGACACATGATTTGCTCAGCCTTTTTGGTATCTACTTTATGGTGACATTTAGAACCTGAAATCAGAAGTTTCTAATTTTCCACTGATTACAAAATGATTACTCCAGAGAGGGAAACTCATACATTTGTAACTGCAATGGAGATATCTACATTTAGCTAGACTAATACCATCCTTTCCCTTAAAAAAACCCCATGCTACTGCATTGAAAGAGAGAAAGACACCTATTGTGTTTATATATTTTTCCATATGGATCTGTTACTGGCCACAGTTGGACACATTATCAAAATTGAAATGTATCTTTCTTCTGACACAGTATAGCCATTGTGTTTTTCTTTGTAAGTACCAAATAAATATCTCAAAGTCTTCTGTATTTGTTATAATTGCTGCTCTCGGTGCCTAAACTAAGAGCTTAGTTTAGACCCTCCCTGAAGGGAGGGTCAGTGCTTATTCTACAGAAGTGAGGAAACGCCGACATTTTACCAAAACCCTCACAGGAAGGAGAGGGTGGAATTTAGTTGTATTGCATTATACTGTTATACTTAATACATATAGCTTAATGCTGTTCAAGATTGCCAGGCTCTTTTTAGCAACTAGTAAAGTGTTAACTTTTATGATTTTTGTTTAGGCATGAGTAAGCCAATTATCCATTAACTGATAACAGTAAAAACTGAAAACTCTGCAGAACTCATTTCCTTTTTTGGTTGCATTTTGACTAATCATTTGACAGCTTGTGAAATGGAGGCTAAGTACCGGTGAAAGTTGAAATCTGCTTTTAACAGTGGGCAGTCAGGGACTATTAAGAAGTAGCTTCTATTAGCCCAGGGATGAATGGACATGAAATAATTACCTGGGGTCCCTGGGGTGCATTCAGCATGCTTTGTTGATCCTGGAAGATCAGCAAAACTCTGGGGAAGAGAATTTTTGGGTAGAAAGTTTTAATAATGTGAAAAAAAAGATTATTTTGGACTCAAACCTAGGGCCAGACTTGAGCTTATACCACCATATAAATTTTCTCAGGAGTCTGCATAAACCTGTACAAGGAGCTGGTCTACTGAAACTTCCTTGGTATGAACTGGTATCTTCTGCTGATAATTATTATTGCTCATGCTAAAGAACTAAGCCTTCTAATCTCTGACTATTTGGACTTATAAACATCATATGTGGATCAGCTGTTAGAAAAAAAATGCTCACATAATAGCAAGGACTATGTTGGTATTGCTCCCTGATCAGTCCTATGAATTGTTTTATAGCTGCTCCATCAAGAAGTGCAAAATGCAGCTCACTACTAATGTTCAACTGCCTGTATAAAATAAAGCACTTCTTAATCTTAAATGTTTCTATGTTTACAAGTATTGCAAAATTGTAGATTTTCCAGAGAGGTTGTGGAGTCTCTGTCCTTAGAGGTGTTCAAAACTGAATAAGACACAGCCCTGGGTAACCTGCACTCACAGGCCCTGCTTTGAAGAGGGAGCTTGAACTATGTGTTCTCCAGAGGTTTTTTCTAGCCTCAAGTATTTTGAGATTCTGTGTAAAATAGTTAATTTTTGCTTTTTAGACTATTCTAATATTTTATGCATGTGTAAAAGAAAGCAGAAATAGCTGGTTCTAGGGATATTAGATCTGCACTGTAATGTCCATAGAAAATTCAGAGTGCAGTTCCATGAATTAACTGATTTGGTCCAGCTGGGGTATAATGAATAATTGTTCCATATCTTTTTGAATTTCTGTGCTTGAGTAGGTAGATACTTAAACTATTTATGTGGGGTTTTTTTCATTGAGAGAAGACACATTTAGCAACAATGAAAAAGTCTGCAATATCAAATGTTAAGAAATTAGTTTCATTCATATTGTTGAAATCTGTATGTGTCTAAACCTCAGAGCTTCTTCTGAAATCTTAGTTTACATTAAATTTTAAAAGTTAAATATAATTGCATCCTGAATGATGGATCACAGTATTTAGGAGAAACTTATGCAAAAACAGTTGTTCTTTGTTCTCATATTTTTTGGCACAGGTACTTTGAAGTAGTTCCTTTGGGTAAACTCTGCCCTCAATAAG